AAAGGGGCGGGGCTTCGTGGCGCCCACGGGCCGGGCGCTCAGACTGGCAGTTTAGCAGCGACTCCCCTTTGTGTCTGGTCTGAGGGAAGGGGAGCCGCGTTCCCCAGCCTGGCCAAGCCCAGCAGCAACCGGGGACTGGCAGGCGACGTGCCGTAGGAAATCTCGACCCGCCGCCGCCGCCGCCGCCCTGCGCAAGTTCCCTCGCCTAAAAGAAGCAACGGAAGAATAGAGGAGGCGACGGCGGGGCTTGACTGGAAGCTGCCTCAGAAAGGCGGGGAGGAGAGAGTGTGTGGGTGGGGGTGTGTGTGTGGGGGGGGGGGGGGGGGGGGACAAGGATCCGTGTAGGTGAGGGAGAAAAGGAAGGGCTCGGCCGGCGCCGGGACCTCTTCTGAGGGAAAGGGACAAGTCCCCTCCCCCCCCGGCCCTTTAAGAGGCGTCGGGAGGCGAAAAGGGTCTTTTTAGACCGGCTGGGACAAGGGTCTTCTCTTCTCCCCGGCCTCCCCCTTTTCCCCTGAGGTAAAAGAGAAAGGGGGAGAGGCTGGTGAACAGAGAGCTACCCCCCCCCTTTATTTTCCTTTTTTTAATTCGGGAAAGGGGAAAGGCCTCTTCTCTTCAAGGCTGGTGGAAGAACTGGGGAACCCTGATTTGCGGCGGCGGCGGCGGCCTTGGAGAAACGTCAAGAAGGACCTTTTTTTGTGCGCCTCGTCTAGGTTGGAGTTATTTTCTCTTGGGTGCCTGAGTGGGAACAAGGACTTAGGGTCCTGGATGTTTTAAAAATCGAAGTCAAGGCTGAAGATACCTAATGGGCCGATGCTCCGTTGAAATGCCTTGCAAAGACGACGCCTTGTTCGTTCTGAGTGTGAAGTGACAGAAAATACTTTTTCGTTTTAAAAAGAGACAGCCAAGGGGGTTTGGATTTCCCCTTGGCTTCAGCCTCGGCCTTTTTGTCCATTTCTGCTGTTTAGGGAAATCGAGGAAGCTGCTTGATACGTGACAATCTTTTTTTGTATTTTTTTTTTGGTCCTCGCCACCTCTGGATATGATTCATTTGCAGTCCGAGTGGTGCTTTCATATCGTGAAGACGCGTGGGAAATAAATAGGGTTTTCAGTATTATGATGATGATCGCTTGCTTGGGGAAGGAGACATGTCTACGGGTTTGAGAACAAAACTCTAACCTCTTGATTGACGTGAATAAGGGGAGCCAAGCCCTGAAACATGAAGATAGATTCCTGTATTGGAGTAAGAGCTCAGACAGCTCTCATGTGCCATTTGCCCTTTCAGAGTGGTTTGTAAACGAAGTGGCTTAGACCCTTTGGAGACAGAAGATTTCCTCCAGTCATTTTTTAAAAAAATTGAATATATCTGCAACCCTCCTAGATTTCTCCGAATATGACAGCCTTACTGCAGTACCTTTTGCTGGTGCTCCTCTTCACCAGTTCCACCTTACTATTCAGCACTGCGGCTGGTAAGTAGGCAGTGGGTGTAACCCAGTAGCATGACCTGCAGACGAATTAAACTGGATTACCTTGATTTAAACCAGTTTAGTTTTGTTGAAGATCATGTGATAAATTAATAAATATCTAAATAATTTGCAAATTGTTCTGCAGATTGCATCCAAGCTGGTAAGAAGCCAGTGGGTGTGAACCAACAGCATGACCTGCAAACGAATTAAACGAGATTAGTTGGATTTAAAACAGTTTAGTTCCATTGAAGACCATGTAATAAATTTGTACAAATCTGAATAATTTGGCAGGTTGTTCTGTAGATTGCAGCCAAACTAGTCCATGAAAAAGGGGGTGCGGCTGGCCAGTGTTCAGATTTACCTGTTTAAAATGTCTGCATGGTTCTCTTGGAAATCTGTTAACATATCAGGTGCCGTGCTTTAGATGGGCAAAATCTAGTCAAGTTGAATATTGTGTACTGTATAATGTTAATCACCATTCACTTTTTTTGAAGGATTCACTTTAAAAGGGTGCAGAATTATCTAATGTATGAATTCTTAGAAAAGTAAGTCTGTGCAAAAATTTATCCCTGGATGTGCTAAATCTTTGTTCACAGCTGTAAGCATGGTCAATTGTTCTTTATGACCACTTAATATGTTTCAAGTATATATGAAGCAGTGTATGTTTTGTGGGTTTTAAACACATAGCTGGTCAATAGCTGCAATGAAATAGCTGAATTTAAACAGAAGTACTGATGTAGAACTGTTTGGTATTAAAATATGCTGCATAACATACATATGCATCTTGAACATTTTTATTTTTGTTAGCTTTGTTATTTGCTCAGCATATAGTGGCTGTCTTCACAATGGGCGGTAGTGTGCAAGGTTGATATTGCCATAAATTGGCTGGAGTAATTAGTGTGCTTTCAGTTTTCTTTGTTATTCTTACATGTTTACACTCTAGTTCTTAGACTGCAGTCCTATACTCAATGCCTTTTTTTGTTTTTAATTCATGTGTCCACAATTTTAAAAGTGTAATAAATACGATTTGCAGATAGAGGTGTAGTCTTTTTCCCCAAGTATTATATTGAAAAACATTGAGCTAAAATAGTTGATATTACATGCTGGCTTGAAAGAAGCTGACTTTGGCTGTGTCATTGGTTCTTAAGGTTGATGCTACTATGTCTGTCCTACAGTGCTTTTAAGGTATTTCATTTAAGGAATGAAACTTTGAATTTCAGAATTCCACACCACTGTAATAAAATATTCTACTGTTTAGTTTGCTAAAAATGTGTAGGTTTTTTGGGACCTGTTTACTTCACAAAATGTGGAGATATTTATGCATCTTGAAAAGAATGAAATTGTGAACAGATAGGATTTCTCTCTCGGGACATAGCAGCAACTACATGCACTGGATAGCTATTGTTAATTCTCCTCAGTTTCAACTTTCCACAATACTTGCCATTAATCATTGACTTATGATGTTCCCCGGAGCCACCTGGTATACCTCTTACACTACAAGAATCCCTGGCATTTCCATATCTAGTCTCTTCTAGGAACCCAGACACTTGAAAGACGCTGTTGGACAAAGTAATTGCTGACCAATCTTGGCAGTCTAGATTCTGTAACGTAAGATACTTTCTTACCCTTCAGAGCAAATCTGATACGTGTGCATTCAAAGTCCATAACATTCACTGTTCAGGGGTATTAATCTTTTCATCAAAAGCAGCATAGCATTGTGGTGCATTAAAGCATTTATACCCAGCTTTTTAGTCAGAATAGTTTCCAGATCTAGATAGGTCCTGCCTCAGACTAAAAAAGCACAACACGAAAAGGATGGGGAAGAAAAGAATGGGGAAGAAAAAGAAAAACAAGAAACCACAGGAACCAGTTCTTAACATTACAAGGTTATTGTAATGATCAGATGAAATGGCAGTCAGTTTTTAAAAAATAACTACCTAGCTAAAGTGCAAACTGCTCAAGAATGAGAAGAGATCAGAAATACAGTAACTGATCTTTTACATAAGCTTATGGGGTTAATCTGATTCTCTTCCTTTTCTACAGATTGGGACAATTGTTGCTTGATACAAAGCCTGACAAACATTGCATTATGCTTATCCTGTGTATTTTAGAGAACATTTTCATATTTATACCTTAGTATTTCCAAATAAATTTAATTACTGTGTAAAAGCATGCATTGAGATTCCATTACACCACAAAATGCATGCCGATGTTCATACTCATCTACATGATAATGTTGGTTTTGAGTAGGCCAATGTAGCTTAGTGCTGATAGTAATGTATTTAGAAGATCTGAATTCAGATTCCTCATTAGGCCATGGAACTGATTGGGTGACTGCAAGCCAGTCATTCTCCCTCTCTGCCCAACTGATGGCATATAATTGTTATGAGGATAAGAGCTGGAAAAGGAGAGCTATGTATGTTGTCTTAAGCAACCTGCCTCAAAGGTAGTATATAAAGGTAATAAATAAACAGTCTTCCCGAGTAAAATCAAAATCTTCATCTGAATGACTTCTTGTGTCACCTACTAAGTGATTGATTTAATAGGTGGACCTGTGTGTGCCACATGCCTTGCTCTTCTGTTAAAAATGTAATGTAGCTTATATTTCCTGTGCAGTCTCCCATCCACGTACCAACTAGATCAAGATCTCCTTGGGCTTCCCATTGTAACACTGTTACTGTATATGATATAAGATGTTCACACAATGAGCCTAATTCTAAACTCTGGGCAGAATATGACCTATCATGTTGTGAATATTCCTGGTTATGAGATTTTTCAGTGTCATATGCCAGATGTGTGTTTGTGGGTACTTTTTAATAGTCCTTCTGTTCTTCTTCCTGTATGCCTCCATGGTACTAAAACCCTGCTCCGAAGGGTTTCCCAGCCTTCTGGAACATGTTTTTATGGTGCTGGTAGGCGTGTGGATATGTTGTTGTTTTGATGATGAAGTAGCATGATTCAGCAGATGTATGCATGTGGGCCTCAACTCAGTTCAAGAATGTTAATACCAGTTACTAGAATTTCATGCAGAAATAGGCAGTATCTTCAGTATGTGTGATGTGCTGCTAAGTCCATTCCTACATGTGATGATAACCTTAATAGAGTTTATGTGAGATATTTAAGGGATAGTTTTAACAGTGAATATATTTTCTGTAGGTTTATTTTTTTAAGCAGGGGATTCAAAAATGGTTGATATTTTCAAAACTGGGAACACTTTATTTCTGTATCTAACTTCTTTAATGGCTGTGTGATAGTTCATATTCAGAAAAAAATCATGGAGTAGTGAGAGGTACTGGCAGTTCTTACATCACCTGCATCTTTGGTGACTACCTCTGTATCTGAGAATTTCCAAAATAGTTGCCATGTTAATTTGTCTCAGCATGATGGCAACCATACAGATAGAGGATCTGGTATTTGTGGTCCTTGTGTCTCAGGAAGCTGATTTTGAGCCATGAAGTCTCACAAGAGCAAATCTTTAAAGCGCCACAATATTTTGCATTTTTTCTCATTCCCCCCCTTTTAATTTTGTCAACTCATGTATGGAGGATGGCTTACTACAGGAGCTTTTAGGATAAATCAGTTTTCATCTTGGTTTCTCTTTTCTCATTCTCTATTTTTCTGAGGCATGGCATGTATTAAAATGTTGATATCTTTAATATAGGTTGTTACATTTTTTAAATCATAGAATCATGGAATAATTGAGTTGGAAGGGGCCTATAAGGCTATCAAATCCAACCCCCTGCTCAATGCAGGAATCCAAGTCAAAGCAGATTTGACAGATAGTTGTCCAGTTTTCTCCTGAATGCCTCCAGCACTGCAGTGCTCTCCACCTGCCAAGGTAATTGGTTCCATTGTCGTACTGCTCTAACAGTTAAGAAGTTTTTCTTTATACAGTATTCAGACTAAATCTGGCTTCCTATAGTTTGAGCCCATTATTATGTGTCATGCCATCTGGGATGATAAAGAACAGATCCTGCCCCTCCTCTATATGCATACCTTTCAAGTATTTATTTTATTTTCATTTCTAAGAATAAAATGACTAGTTTTCGGAAATACAGTAAGCACATACAGTATAAGTACTTGGCACGGGGAAGCTGTATGTTCATGTAAAAATCAACACATGTTTAGTATCTAGATTAAAACCTTTGGGTCCTTTGTCCTTGCCACAAAGCTTTTAACAACCTCAGTCTTGCATTGTCGCTTTTCCACTTGTAAATTAGTAATAAGATTACTTGTTTCACATAGTTAATTGAGTTATGACCCTAAGTGATAATACATACGAAAATATGTGTTACATATACTTGCCTCAGGTGAGTAAAAATGACCTGCACACCTTGTGGGGGATACTGTTTATTTCTGTCATTAATATTATCTCAATTTATTTAATACGTTGTACTTGGATGAATGTAATTACAAAATATATTCCAAAGAATGGCAAGACAGGTCCCTACACGAAGGTCTTTACAGTCTTGAAATAGATACAAGGCACATAACAGGCTGGATAAGAATGTGGGCTGACTGCTGTTACATTGCGGCTACATGGGCTTACTTTCAGTAAGCTGTGGGAACTCCAGGACTGTGTGAAAAACTACAGGCAGAAAATAGTTTTGCAGAGAGGGACATCTTCTCAGACTGCAAAATAGTTTGATGCATTAAGAGCACCAAGGGAGAAAAGGTAGAATGATTTGCGGAACGATCATTTTGCTAGTGGAGGTACCACAGGATTCAAAATAAAAAAGAAGGCTAGAATGAAGAAATAAAGTTCTGGAAAATAAAGGTAGAATTGGATGTTGTCAGCATGATGTACAGTATGTTGAGGTCAAGTAGCAGCAGAGTAGAATGCTGTAATATAGACTGATTTGTTTAGTAGAAATCTATAGTACAGTAGTTTTTATGTATCTCAGTATTCATACTGTTACTGTGGAATGTAGACATTAGTTCTGCCATCCATCTGTTAATTGCTCTGACATTCTGACATTCTTTCATTGTTGTTTGTGGAAATA